CCGGAACCAAGGCTGAAGGTGTAACCTTGTGACGACCGCTGCGTAGCCTGGTCTTCTGCCCAAGAAGCGTCCGCGTGCCCAGTGAGGACCACTGGACTCCGCCCTCCAAGCACTAGCCCCATGCCCGACGTACTGCACAAGTAGCGCAACACCCTCTTCGCTGCAGCCATGTGCTCTGGTCTATGCCTCCCAGGAGCAACATAGCGTGCAAGAATGCTAAGAGGGTATGCAAGGTCAGGTCGTGTGCAGGTCATCAGGTACATGAGGCAGCCAACAAGCTCTGGGTACGGGCCACTCGACTCTACGGACTCATCCGAAGGCAGAGCTGAGAGCGAGTGGCGAGTAGACAGAGGAGTGGCCTGAGGCGAGGAGTACGTGAAGCCGAAGCGCTGAAGAACCTGCTGCACCATGTGTGACTGAGTCAGGGTAATGGTGCGGCGTGCTCTGTCTCGGGTGATCTGCAAGCCAAGGTAGCTGCGCAGTTCACCCAGGTCAGTGCACGTGTGTCTCTTCTGCAGCTCGGACTTCACGTGGGCGAGTCTAGCAGTGTCAGCTGTGGCAAAGACCAAGTCGTCGACGTACACGAGGATGTAGAACGGCGGCAGAGAGGTGTCGGTGCGTAGAAACAGTGACGCGTCAGCAGTAAAGGGAGCAAACCCAAGAGCCGCAAGTGTAGTCCTCAGTGTGTCGTGCCACTTGCGCGGTGCCTGGCGGAGACCGTAGACTGGCCGTCGGAGGCTCCACTGGGTGCCAAGAGGGAAAGTCCCAGTGAAGCCAGGTGGACGGCGCAACCAGATCTCCTCGTGCAGGCTACCCTGCACGAAAGCAGTGCTGAAGTCAAGGGAGTGAAGCTCGTACTCACGCTGAGCGGCTACGTGTAGCAGCACCCGAAGAGTGGTCATCTTCGGGGTGGGAGAGAAGGTCTGAAAGTAGTCAACTCCCTGCCGCTGACTGAAGCCACGAGCCACGTACCGCGCCTTGAAGACAGGTGGAGAGCCCGGCGGCCGCTTCACCCTGAAGATCCACATCCCACTGACGATGTTCGCCCCAGGAGGGGGAACCGCGTCAACGTAGGTGCCTGTGGACTTCCAGGAAGCCATCTCTGCATCCATAGCTGCCTGCCACTGAGAGGAGTAGGGACCCTCTACGGCCTCCGCGTAAGAGCGCGGAGTCGGGATGTCTAGTGCATCCGGGTCTCCCTCAGGGGTAAGCAGTACGGACGCGAGATGAGGTGAAGCAGCAGGCAGACATTGGAACTCCTCCTGCCTGTCCTCAAGGACGTCCGTGCCAAGAGCACACTCACCCCCGACGGACGGAGGACAGACAGACGCAGACTGAGCAACAAGACTAGCAGCGTAGTCTAGACGACAGCGAGCAGCAAAGTCGACGAGCTCAGCAACAAGAGCAGACGCAGCAGTGGACTCAAAGGAGGGGTCAGTGACGACAGTAGCAAGGAGAAGCGTGACAGTAGGACTGGCAGCACGAAGAGAGTCCGACTCAGGGTCGGCAAGCACAGGAAGAGAGGACTCAAGAGGAGAGGGCAAGGGGGCACGCAGAGGAGCAGTGGACGGACGCAGAGACATCCGGTGCGTGCCAGGGACAGGAGGAGGACGCTGACGCGAACTGCGACCACTAGTGCGAGCAGCACGAACAAGCGACGCAGGACGAGACGCAGGCTCACGACGCTCAGCAAGACCTCGAGTAGGACCAGTGTACGGAGAAGGAGAAGGCAGTGGGGAGACCGGTGGTAACTGTGAGTGCGACTGGACAGGCGGTGGACACTCTTAGGGAGGAGGAAGACCAAGAACCTGCTGAAGGAGCGGAACAAAGTACGGCCGAGGCCGCGCGGCGACTCCAGGCACAGCAGGGACAACACCAGCACCCCCAGCGGCAGTACCAACGTCAACAGCACCTCCAGCTCCAGTACCTCCAGCAGCACCAGTAGCACTCGCAGCAGGACCGCTGCCAGGACTGACAGCAGTAGCCTCCGCGCCAACACTCTCAGCAGCTCCGACTCCAGTAGCACTCGCAGGACTAGCACCTCCCAGACCTGCGGCACCAGCACCCTCAGCAGCCGAAGAAGCACCAGCTCCAGTAGTACGCCTCCAGCGCCGGGCAAACCACTCGCGCAGCTCCTGTGGAGAGAGTGGCTCCCGCCGAGACAAAGCACCCGGAGAACCAGCAGGCCCAGCACCGCCAGACGCCACACAAGCAGGTCCAGCGGCCGCGGGCTCCGCACCCCCAGGCTCAGTAGCTCCAGACTCAGCACCCCCAGGCTCAGCACCTCTAGACGCAGCACCCCCAGGCGAAGGACCCCCAGGCTCAGCACCCCCAGTCGTAGCAACCCCAGGCTCAGCACCCCAAGTCGTAGCACCCCCACGCTCAGCACCCCCAGGCTCAGCACCCCCAGTCGCAGCATCCCCAGACCCAGCACCTCCAGGCTCAGCACCCACGCGCGCAGCACCCCCAGAGTCAGCACCCCCAAGCTCAGCACCCGCAGCAGTACCAGAGTCACCAGCAACCTCGATCGGCTCAACTGCATCTACCTGGGACACACCTGAAGGGGCAGGACCCTGAGGGGGGAGGGGGTCTACCAGGGGGGGACCTGGCACAAGGAAGTGCGGTGGCGGGGGGAGGGAAGGAGTGCGGTAGTGGAAGAGGCGGTAGTAGGGTACTGACTCGTCGAACGTGACGTCCTGGGAGGACAGATAACGACGAGAGGTGGGGTGGTAGAACTGCCACCCAGGGGCGTCAGGGGGGAAGCCAAGGAAGACACAGGGAGCAGCGCGAGGGGACAGCTTGTCCGCAGACAAGTCGCGGACAAACGCCCGAGATCCCCACACACGGAACGCAGACGCATCGCCGACCTTCACCGTCCACAGCAAGGCTGGGGAGGTCTCCAATCTGGAGACCCTGGGGTGAAGGTTGATCTGATGCGCCGCGTACCGAACCGCAAACGGCCACAGAAAATGGGGGGCAGCCGCATGCATCATGGACGTACGAGCGATGTCCATGACCATGCCAATGCGGCGCTCAGCAATCCCATTTTGCTGTGGAGAGTCCGGAAGCGTAAAGGTCTGGCGGATGCCTCGCGCACGACAGTAGGCTCGCAGAAGGCCAGAGGAGAACTCTCCGCCTCGGTCAGAGTGCACACGCAGAACAGGAAAGTCCGAGCCGAAGCTCCTCCTGAGCTGGAGACGAGCTGCGCGGATCCAGTCGATCAACACCTCGGCGACATCACCCTTGCTGCGCAAGGGAAAGACTGTGGTGTAACGCGAGTAGTCGTCAACCACCAGCAGGAAGTAGCGCTCGTGACCCTGTCCACGGAAGCGGGCCGGGCCCCACACGTCCATGTGAAGCGTCTGCAGCGGGGCCTCTGTCGGGGGAAGCTGAGAGGAGTGAGGGGCAGCTCGGAGCCGCCCCTCGACACAGGGGACACAGGAAGGACCAGGCCCCGGAGGAAGGGGAGGGAGGGACCGGGGAAGACCAGAGACAAGGACACGGGAAGCCATGCCTCGGAGACGAGGCAGGGAGGGGTGACCAAGACGGTGGTGCCAGAGGAGAGTTTCGTGAGACAGGAGGCGACACGAGCAGGGGGCAGACTCAGGACCAGACCTGGACGCTGCAGCAAACACCTGACCCGACGCAGCTACCTGACCAGACGCAGTGACTGGAGGAGACTCAGTGGTCAGTGTGTACAGGCTCGACCCCGGCGGACGTGTAAACGTGGCCAGGTGTCGGCCTGTCCGAGCGTCCGTGCAGAGGGTCACCCGCTGACTCGCAGGAGTGAACTGGTGAACCCCCGTATCCTGCAGGTCAGCACCACTCACCAAGTTTGTAGAGAACGAGGAGAGGTAAAGACCAGACAAGGTGCCAGAGGGGGCAGCCGGACACGGGAGGACAGTGGAGAAGTGAGAGAGGACAGGACCCCCAGAGGGGTCTGCCAGGGAGACTGCAACTGGCCGACCAAGCGGCGTGAGTGTGGTGCGGTCTCGAAAGAAGGAGCGAGAAGCCCCTGAGTCAAGTGTGAAGGTGAGGGAGGCCGAAGCCGACGTGGTACCTGAGAGCGCAGACTCACCAGGACCTGAGGGCGCGGACGCACTGGCACCTAGAGCAGCAGCCTCACCAGTACCTAGAGCAGCAGTACCAATGACCGGGTCGGGCGGGAAACACCGGTAACAGTCACCCTCATCACTAATAGTCACAGCATACATGGCAGCAAGGATAGCATCAAAGTCAAGATCAAAGATAGCTACGCCTGCCCTAGACAGCTCTCCCCAGCGGGGGATCACACTAGCCTCCGGGAACTGCTGACGCCAAGCGTCCGTCAGGCGGCCAAAGCAGCGCTGGGTGGGGTGAGCACCCCCACACTTCTCACCCACGCGGTCGCCGGAGCGGAGGACGTAGGTGCACGGGCCAAAACCCCCACCACGCTGACGCTGTGTGTACCACTCACGGAACTGCTGAGGAGGGGGGATGTCCCGAGAACGCTGCTGCTGCTGCTGCTGCTGCTGGCGCTGACCACTCCCGGAGCCGCTCCACTGAGAAGTACCACCTCGACCAGCTCCACCTCCTCCACCACCGCCGCCTCCACCTCCGCCGCCACCGCCGCCTCTGCTCCCACCGCTACCGCCACCGCCGCCTCCGCCTCCGCCGCTGCCACCGCCACCTCCACCCCCGGCACCACTCCCACTGCCACCCCCACTCCCCCCGCCGCCCCCACCGTCACCTCCACCACCCCCGCTAGCCCCACCCGCGCCCTTGCCCCCCTTGCCCTTGCCAGAGCGGCGTCTCCCGCTAGGGGCTGACGCCGCACCGACCGACTCAAGACCAACGAGGTCGGCCGCAGCAGCAGAGGCGACAGAGGGCAACAGGGGGGAAGGGGAACACCCCTCAAAGATGGGGGTGCGAGGGTCACCACGAGAGGCTCCTACAGCGACTATGCTCTTCTCCGCTGCTAGGAGGGCCTTCTCTAGGAGGTCAACAGTGAGAGTGGTGGGACAGACTGAGAGGAAGTGGTCCCTGACTACGCGAAGGGAGTCAGGAAGGCGAGTGACGATATAATAGAGAGTGATGTACATGGGGGGTGGATTCTTGGCGCAGAACTCAGCAGGAAGTGCGGCGCGGTAGCGAGTGTCTATTGTGCGGAGGTGCGTAACGAGGTCGGCGACTGTAGGAAAGGCAGCAAGGTCAGGAAAGAGGTACGGTAGCATGAGGCGGCTCAGTGCAGCAGTGGCAGGGGAAGAGTAGCGCGCAACGACAGCGTCGTATAAGGTGTGAGCACTCTTGTACTGACTAACGTGCGCGCGCTCAGAGGTAGGCAGGTGGCGACGCACAGCAAGACGTGCAGCAGCATCGCGGGTGGCCCACTAGGAGCAAACAGTGGGGTCAGCATCAGCAGCAGGGGCAGGAGAGGCGCTAGAGGTGAGGTCAAAGAGGGAGAGACCGTCTGCCCTATCGCACTGTAAGAAGAGCTGCAGGTCATCTACCCAAACCTCAAAGTCAATGGCTCGACCCTCAGCGTCAAAAGCGAGAACACTAGGGGAAGCCATGACAGCAGTAGACTAGCGAGACCAACTGTAGGACAGGGGCAGTGCAGTGACAGAAGCGCTGGTCTCACCAGACAGGGCAAGTCGGGCAGCTCAGTAGTGCAGTAACCCGGCAACACGGCTGCTCGGACGGCACGGGTGGCTCGGGCAGCTCGGGCGGCTCGGGCGGCTCGGGCGGCTCGGGCAGCTCGGGCGGCTCAGGCGGCTCGGGCGGCTCGGGCGACTCGGGCAGCTCGGGCGGCTCGGGCTGTTCTGGCAGCTCGGGCGGCGCGGGCAGTGTAGGGCGGCAGGGCCGCTGGTGAACGGTGGCGGGGCCGCTGAGTAGGGCGTCGGGGCCGCAGGAGTAGGGCGGCGGGGCCGTAGGAGTAGGGCGGCGGGGCCAGTGCAAAAGGGCGGCGAGGCCGCTAAGCAGGGCGGCGGGGCCGCGAGGTAGGGCGACGGGGCCGCGAGGTAGAGCGGCGGGGCCGCGAGGTAGGGCGGCGGGGCCGCGAGGTAGGGCGGCGGGGCCGCGAGGTAGGGCGGCGGGGCCGCGAGGTAGGGCGGCGGGGCTGAGAGGTAGGGCGGCGGGGCCGCGAGGTAGGGCGGCGGGGCCGCGAGGTAGGGCGGCGGGGCCGCGAGGTAGGGCGACGGGGCCGCGAGGTAGGGCGGCGGGGCCGCGAGGTAGGGCGGCGGGGCCGCGAGGTAGGGCGGCGGGGCCGAGAGGTAGGGCGGCGGGGCCGCGAGGTAGGGCGGTGGGGCGGCGAGGTAGGGCGGCGGGGCCGCGAGGTAGGGCGGCGGGGCCGCGAGGTAGGGCGGCGGGGCCGCGACGACGGGCGACGGGACCGAAGCGACGGGCGGCGTGGCCGAGGCGACGTGCGGCGGGGCCGCTAGGGGAAAGGGCCGCTAGGGCGCCTGGACGAAGTGCGACTCGGGCGGAGCGCGCTTCGGGCAGGAAAAAAAAAAAAGGTCGATGTGGTGGGCCCTAGGCACAGTTCCCACGGGGGAACCTGCTCAATACCATGAGAAAATGTGAACGAGAATGAATGAACTATGAAACAGTTGGGTACAAGTACTAACCCTAATTGGGTTGTACCCCATATGGGCTACCCCACTACAGCCTACACTAAAGCATAAGCTATAATGTTCTGACAGTCCTTACTTTCAATCATTAAATGAATGTTGTTAACAGTGAGAAAAGGATCACTATCCTCAGTAAAACTGCAACATTTGTGTGGTGAGCATTTGGCCCGCTCAACAAAGCCCAAACGTTTGAGAACAACGCACATGCCTTCAACCAAAATGGTTGTCAACGTAGAGGCAGCTGCACATGCCCCTTGCATGATAGATCATTGAATTGTTGTTCATCACCTCTGCTTCATTGCAAACAACCTCTCATTCCTTTTGTGAAGGGGTTCTCTCAATATGTGCTCGCTAGGGCGTTTGGGCGTCCCAGCACTCTAAGGCGTCCTAGCACCTTCTGAATTCCGATTCCGAGCAAATTTCACAAGCTTTTGAAATACGTTAGATGAGAACCTTAGATTGTAAGAAGACAAACGCATGGATCGGCCAAGAGCAAGATACATAAGGCCATCACTACCTTCACCATGTTGGTCCTGGTGCTTTTGATCCATAACCTCTGACAACACAGCATCCTCTCCATACAAAGTACCATTCACATCCGAAGCAATCCGTGCAGAACCTAATCATCCCAAAGAGATTCAAACAGATGCAGTGGCCATCCATACCACACTCAGCAACAGTCAATCGGAAAACAGTACTTAACACCATCACTTGTGGGTGTGCTGCTTAGAGCTTTCCTCTCCCCATGCTTCACACGAGATTTTCCTCAGCAAAGCTGTCCCCCATCATCTGGATTTCTGTTTCGGGGCCCTCAATACCCACGAAAGCTTCCTTCATCTCCTGAACTTGAGAATCCACCTTGACAGCCGCCCTCAGCTCCTTTTTCCCCACCACTTCATCCCGGATGGCCTGCAGCTGATTGGCAATTTCTGCCATGCTTGGGCGAGCTGCAGTGCACTCCACGGTGCAGCTGAGGGCGAGCTGAGCCACACGCAGCACAGCATCCGCAGGGGCATCCAGGTTGGGGTCCTTGAGGCTCCCCAGCTCACCCGAGTTCACGCACTCAGATGCCTGAAAGGAAGTACACACGGAGGGGGATGTGGGAGATCACAAACGGAGGGGGGTGGGAGAGATCACAAACGGAGGGGGATGGGAGAGATCACAAACGGAGGGGGATGGGAGAGATCACGAATTGGGTAGAGAGAGTTCATGAGTCAACCCATCAAATAGTATGGTAAGGGATCTGAGTTGCTTCACTGCGTCAAATCATGACACACTGCAGAAAGGTGGTCATGGTAGTTACTGAAAGTACCTTTGGAAGTCACAAAATCCTTACCCATGGGATAATCTGCCAGCTCTTTCCCGCAGTCTCTGAGAGAGGGGCCTGTCTGGTGAGCACCACCAACATGAGAACTCCAAAGCTGGAAAACAACACACATGTTTAAAGACATAGAATGCTAGCAGTTTAGCTGTTGACAGATCATTGTATGGCCGACTGAGCCATAATGCCACCACGCCCATCACGCCCATCACACCCACAAAGAACACGACCAGACAACAATGAGGTTTGGTCTCGTCAGTCAGCATCAACTTGTAGGAATTCTTTCTGCGTCTCCTTGTGTGGCCTTGTCTGTAATGCCTCTTGCCTCACCTGTACACATTGCTGGCTGCAGTTGCCTCGGACATTCTGGAGTAAACAGGATCTACGTAACCCATGACGCAAGTCGTGCCCACACTCTTTGACACGTCCTGAAATGATCACCTTCACACAACACTGCCTCATCTAACGGCTCCTGCAATGATCACCTGTACACATCACTACTTCACCTGTACACATCACTACTTCACCTGTACACATCACTACTTCACCTGTACACATCACTACTTCACCTGTACACATCACTACTTCACCTGTACACATCACTACTTCACCTGTACACATCACTACTTCACCTGTACACATCACTACTTCACCTGTACACATCGCTGGCTGCAGTTGCCTTGGACGTTCGGGAGTAGACAGGATCCACATAGCCCGGTGTGCCCACGATGCGAGTCGTACCGACAGTCGTGCCCTCTCCCATCCTCACCAGCCCAAAGTCTGCAATCTTGGCCTGGTGGGTGCGTTGAGAGACATGTTGGCAAGAGACCCCAGAAGTACAAACGCTTGAAGAAGTTTTTCTGGGAATCAAGGATGCACATATGTGGTGGCAGGATGTTTGCCACGGAAAGAACTCTCATTGCAAAGTAAATATGTGTTAGCAAGGCTTAACGAATGGTTGTCGCAAGGAGCAAGTGATTCAGGAAAAAACCAATAGATATGACAATGGCAAACGTACCGGGTGTGATGTACCACTGCCTGGTCTAGGCTTCAACACATCAATAAAATAAATACACGAATCAGCTTGGCATCCGAAGAAAGTGGATCGGTGAACTTAGGGCACGATAGGAAGAAGAAATCTCCTTAGCAAGAAAATGGTACAAGTCTTAAAGATTAGAGCAAGGTCCTTGTCAAGGATGATCCCTAGTGAAGTGGGAAGCCACATATATGTGGCTGAACTCTTGAGGCTAGCTGCAGCACCTCAATGCTGAGGGCTAGGCTAGCCAACCTTGCCAAGCTAGCAAGTGAGGCCACATGTTGCACATGTGGGCCAGGCTGGAACAACAGCCCACATGACAGCATATGGCACACCATAGAGGCCAGCAAGGTGAGTGTGGGATGAGTGGACAGGTGGCAATGCCAACTGTGACCACACTTCACTGTGGTGGAGTGTGGTAGAGTGTGGACATGTAATGTGGAGCATAATGAGAAGGAAACCTGCAGCTACTGAGAATTGAACCCACAACCTCTAAGGCCACAGGTGAGAATCTACCCTCTGGGACATTTGCTGCACAACACCCCCCCTCAAGGATGTCCCCGGGGTAGGGTTCTTCAAGCGGAGACATGGGTGAGACCGAGAAGACCACGGATGCGAAGAAAAGGGTCACGGGGCAAAGGTTTGGTGCCAATGTCAGCGAGGTTGTCTTGAGTAGGAACATAGTGAAGGGTGACGGAGTGGTCGGCGACATGATCACGAATGAAATGGTGCTTGATGTCGATGTGTTTGGCCTTGGGATGAAAGACGCCGTCGTCCTTGGCCAGAATGATGGCGCTGCTGTTGTCACACGAGATGCGGGTGGGGCCGGGTGGGGGAAGTCCAAGTGCAGTAAGGAGGGATCGAAGCCATAAGGCCTCATGCACCGCGGCGCCCAGAGAATAGTATTCAGCTTCACATGAAGAGGTAGCGACGAGAGCTTGACGTTTGGACTGCCAAGAGATGAGTGACGGACCGAGGAAGAACAAGTAGCACGTAACGGAGCGTCGGAGCTCGCCCTCCGGTCCCCAAGAGGCGTCACACCACCCATGAAGTTCAAGGGTGTTGGGAATGCCGCCAGGGAGAAGCCCGAGTGAGGTAGTCCCTTTCAAGTAGCGAGCAACGCGTTTGGCAGCCGAGACGTGAGGAGTAGACCAATCATGAAGGTGACGAGCAAGAACGAGGTCGGGACAGGAACCCACCATGGCATACATGATGGATCCGACAAACGAGGTGTAAGGAAAGGAGGAGGAGTGTGGTGAGGAAGTCACGGGCGGCTGAAACTTGGTGTCCATGGGGGTGGCAGCAGGGTTAAGTGGTGTGAATGAGTAGGTGTCTAAGATGGAGGTGATGAATCTGGATTGATGAAGGTGGAGAGTGCGTGAGGTCCGATCACGAGTGATGTGAAAGCCAAGGTAGTAGGAAAGAGGACCGAGGTCACGAAGCTTGAAGCGAGATGAAAGGGCACGCTTGAATGAGGAGAGAAGAGAAGAGGAGGAGGAAAGAATGATGAGGTCGTCAACATAGACAAGAAGCATGAAGAAAGATGCAGCTGTAGGCCGATAAGGAGATTGTGGAGTAGCAATGAAGAGGCCGGGGTCCGCACGGGCAGCAAAAAGGTGAAATGCAGCAAGCTCTTCACGAAGTTTGCGGTACCAGCACCGCGGCGCTTGCTTCAACCCGTACAACGGTTTGTGCAAGAGACAAACTTGCTCAACACCATGGACCGCCGGAAGCTCATAACCGGGAGGCTGCATCATGTAGAGAATTTCATCAAGAGTGCCGTTGAGGAAGGCGTTGGAAATGTCCAGCTGATGGACTTCCAGGTCGAAAGCGGCAGCAATGGTGAAGAGGAGGCGGAGGGTGGCGAAGCGAACGGTAGGAGCAAAGGTGTCATGGAAATCAACACCGTCGCGTTGCTTGAAACCTTTGACAACAAGGCGGGCCTTGCGGCGTTCAATAGAACCATCAGCATGCTCCTTGACCTTAAAAATCCATTTGCATGGAATCGGTTTGCGCTTGGGTGGTCGAGGAACAACGCTGTAGTGTCATTAGCGTGCAGGGCAGCGAGTTCCGCATCAGCAGCCTTGATCCATGCAGCAGCATCAGGGCCGGTGCGGGCCTCATGAATGTTTTGAGGTTCGTAATGATGATGAAGGGCGGCATTAGCGGAGGTCTTGGAAAGAGGAGGAAGGGTGAAGTCAATGGGTTCAGAAGGAGAGGGTAGGACCTTGAGCAGTGAGAAAAGTGAAGGATTGGAAGGAGCTGAAGGGGATGGTGGTGAGGAACTAGAGGTGCAAGGGGGAGGACGAGCTGAAGAAGGAGAGGAGAGGGATGGAAGGCGGAAGTCTTGCGGCATCGAGGGTAGAGGAAGGTTTGAAAACAAAGGAGGAGAAGAGGTTGCTGGTGCTGGCAGATTTGGAGATGGTGGGAGGAGGGTGGTGGAAGAGGTCATGGGAGGTGAACGAGAGGGAGGGGAGGTTGGGTCTGAGAGGGAAGGGGGTGGAGGAGGAGGCGGAGAGGATGATATGGGTAGTGGAGATGACGATGGAGGTTCTCGAGGGTCATCCGAAGGTGGCGAAGAGGGCTCCATGAAGATGACATCACGAGAAAGTGTGACACGGTGCTGAGTTGGGATATAGATGCGATAAGCTTTGGTGCCGTCAAGATGACCATACCCAACCATGACACCGGCCGTGCTTCGGTCGTCGAGTTTGGAGCGGCGTTGCGGAGGAACGAGGACTGAAACGGGTGAACTGAAGATGCGGAGGTGTGATACGTCCGGATGTGCACCGGTCCATAGTTCTATGGGAGTCTTGGAAGTTGAACCACCCCGACTAATAGCATGATTTTGGAGATAGGCAGCAGTGAGAGCGGCTTCACCCCACCATCCTCTGTCCATGTGTGCGTCATGAAGCATGGAACGGACCATCTCAAGTATAGTCCGATTGGCGCGTTCAGCAACTCCATTTTGTTCGGGTGTGTACGGCGTAGAGTGGTGTCGAGCGATGCCATGAGCTTTAAGGAATGAAGTGAAGGCCTCGGAATTGAACTCCAAGGCACCATCGGAGCGAAACGCTTTGATGGTCCTTGGGGAATGCATATTGTGCACCCGAGTGACGTAAGCTTTGAAGCACGACAATGCCTCTGAACGATGGCGTAGGAGATGCATGGTAATGTGGCGGGAATAGTCGTCGATGAAGGTGAGAAGGTAGCGAGCGCCTCCAATGGTAGTTCCATATGAAAACGGTCCAGCAATATCCGAATGAATGAGTTGGAGCGGTGCTGTGGTGCGAGAATGGGACACGCCAAATGGTTGACGCGTTTGTTTCCCACGATAGCACGAGATGCATTGAAATATTGAGGAGGAGGAGAGGTTAAGACCGGTGACCAGCTGCTGCCGATGAAGTGTTGACAAGTCCCGCATGTCAAGATGCCCGAAACGGCGATGCCAAAGGTATGAGGAGGAGGTGGTGGAGACTGGACATGCCGATGGGTTGATGGGGGGGGCGGGCACTACTCCCATGATGCAGCTGAAGATAAAACAGATTGTTGCGGGTAAAGCCCTCGCCAATAAGAGCCTCATCAGTCTTGAGCTCAACCCGCCCAGCAATGGGGAAGGAAACGGCAATGCCGGCAGCTCCAAGTGCACGAACTGAGAGCAGATTGTGAACCGATGAAGGGAGAAACAGAACATTGTCTAGCTGGATGGTGGTTTCCGAGGTTTGGGAACGAAGAGTAGCCACCACCGTGCCGACTCCCAAGACCTTGTAAGTCTCTCCGCCACCAAAGCGAACGATAATATCATCAGTTGGCTGCTGGAGAGATGAAAACAGCGAGCGATCGGAGCAGATATGGGAAGATGCGCCGCTGTCCACCAGCCAGGAAGACGTCCGGACCAGGTTTGATGAGGAGGCCGTGAATGCCGATGCGTAGGGAGCACCATAAGGGAAGAGGAGGAGGAGGAGGAGGAGGAGGAGGAGGAGGAGGAGGAGGAGGAGGAGGAGGATGGTGAAGATGAAGAGAGTAGCGACGAGAGGAGTCCAGGTGGGGAGGGTTGGGAATGGAGGTTGTATGCACCTTCCATGTTGCGGCTTGTACCAGATTGTGACCGCTCCCAATCGGCATCGAGTAGACGTGACTGCAGGTATTCAACCGTCATAGACTTGATGTCTTTCACGGTGCAAATAGTTTCTGTGAGAGTCTTGAAGGAGTCCGGCAGATTGAGAATGATGGAGATTACCACCACCCAAGATGGTAACTCGAAGCTGGCAGATTTGAGTTGGTGCGTAAGATTTCCAACTCGATCGAAGTAGGAGCGAAGACTCATTGTTGGGTCCATCCGTGTAGTGATGAGATCTCGGAGGAGAGCCACTTGTGCATGGTTACCCATGCAGTCAAACCGCGCCATGATGCATCCCCACATGTCCTTCGTCGTGTTGGCTTGAGCAAGTTTGAGCGAGAGCTGAGGATGGACGGCTGACATGAGAAGATAGTACGCATGCTCCTCTTTTTCTTCATCCGGAAGCGACGCAATCGAGTGGGCTGTTTTAGGGGCTGCACCATTGTTGCCTTCAGTAGCATCTCCACTTCTGGTTGTGGAGGAGGAAATGGAAGGGCGGGAAGCAACCTTGGGATCTCCAAGAAAGGAGATCAGCCCAAGGACATTAAAGATGTAGCATATATTTTTCTTCCATGGAATGAAGTTGGAACCATCCGGTTCCAAGATAGGAAGGGTGTGCCGACCGAGAGGCGTCTCAACTTGAGCCATCAAGTGTTCGACGTTCACAAAGCTAGAAGCCTAGCTCTGATACCATGTAGAAAGTGGATCGGTGAACTTAGGGCACGATAGGAAGAAGAAATCTCCTTAGCAAGAAAATGGTACAGGTCTTAAAGACTAGAGCAAGGTCCTTGTCAAGGATGATCCCTAGTGAAGTGGGAAGCCACATATATGTGGCTGAACTCTTGAGGCTAGCTGCAGCACCTCAATGCTGAGGGCTAGGCTAGCCAACCTTGCCAAGCTAGCAAGTGAGGCCACATGTTGCACATGTGGGCCAAGCTGGAACAACAGCCCACATGACAACATATGGCACACCATAGAGGCCAGCAAGGTGAGTGTGGGATGAGTGGACAGGTGGCAATGCCAACTGTGACCACACTTCACTGTGGTGGAGTGTGGTAGAGTGTGGACATGTAATGTGGAGCATAATGAGAAGGAAACCTGCAGCTACTGAGAATTGAACCCACAACCTCTAAGGCCACAGGTGAGAATCTACCCTCTGGGACATATTTGCTGCACAATAGCATCGATTAAGTGACACTAACTTCCATCTTCCTCTGCGAATTCTCCCATTTTGTATCATTATTTCTCCCAAGGTTCTGATTCCGACTGCCAAAGAAACTTTGGGAACAGAACAAAGCAGTGCGTGATGTAACCACTCTTGCCTGCATGCTGTTGGTGATGAGGACGTTGGCAGGCTTGATGTCGCGATGCACGATGCCAAAGCCATGGAGGTACTCAAAGCCCCGTGCCATGCCGATGAGAATGTCCAGCCGCTGCTTCAGATTCAGAGGACGTTCTGCCTCTGCAAGGATACACAGTATGAGCGGCAGAGCATGTAAGTGGCAGAGCATGTGGGTGGCAGAGCATGTAGGTGGCACAACGGAACACGCACTGGGGGAGTGCCGCACATACTTGGATCAATCCATTTCTGAAGATCGCAGTTGGGCACGTATTCATAGATCAGAACTTGCTCTGGCCGAGATCTCAGATCCCCTCCAATCGCAAAGCCAAGAAGCCTCACAATGTTGGGGTGGTTCTTGTCAGCCATCTGCTCAATCTGATCATCACAGCCAGAGAGAAACATTTAAAGCAGGGAGAAATGGAACAGGTCGAGAAGCAGAGCACACAAAAATAGTAGCCCAGGCTCCAAAATCTGGAAAGTTGGTTTCTTTTACGCATGCCTGCAAAATCTGCTGAGATAAACTCTGAATTAAAAAGAAGGGAATCGTCAAACACGGAACAAGGTATAATTGGAATGGCAAAAGATACCATGGCAGCGACAAATGCCACTTGTGAGCACTACCATGGCTCACTGACCTCCTTCTGGAAGCCAACGACCATGAGCCTGGCGCGCTTTACAGCCCACACTGTGGTGCCATCGCGGGGAGACACGCCCTTGTACACATCGCCAAAGGAACCGGAGCCCAGATGGTGGTCCTGCGACCAGTTATTGGTGGCCTTGAGGACCTCTGCCAGCGAAAACTCGGTGCAATGGGAGGCTGCCAGGCTGCCACCCGCGCCTGCTCATGGTGCCACTCATGGGGTGAAAGGAAAGGAGGTGCATGCAAGTCGAGTACAGCTGAGCCGGCTTCCAACCGACTCCCTTGCCGATTCCAATCGAGTTGGACTTGTGGTTGATTTGACTTGTCCAAAATACTTGTCGAAATGCTTCAGTAGGTTTGGGTGTAAGCAAGGCATGTCAGGCCATTTTGGGTCATGGAAGACCTGACATGTACTTAGGGCATACATGCCCATTACATGGCTACTGTTTGAACACCCTGCCATGCTGATGCTCTAAACTTGACAAGTGAATAACCCAAGAATACGTCCAATAATATAGATATAGAAGTTTGGGAGTCACTTATGAGAATTCTCAGAAGTGATTCCCAAAACGTTCCAGGCTTGAATAGTGAATAACCTCAGATTACATTGAGTATGATAGAGACGGCAGCTTAGGAGGCCGAAAGGCCTGGAGGATAAGAATGAACTGACTGCATGTCACTCGTGGCAAGTCAGCCTAGCTCAGGTCAAGAGAAGCGACTCGAGCAGTCCTTCCCAGCTTGATTTTGATTGAGCGAAGTTGAAAAAAAAATGGAGCAGCAACAACAGGAACAACAACAACAACAACAACAACAACAACAACAACAACAACAACAACAACAACAACAACAACAACAACAACAACAACAACAACAACAACAACAACAACAACAACAACAACAACGAAAAGGAGATCCGACTGGACCGACAGCCAATTTGAGTCGTAATTAAATTTGCGAACTTGCACGCTTGCTAGGTTCATGCATTGAGCAACTCGCTAACTTATCACCCAAACTGTAAGCTACAGCCACATATAGCTGCACTAATAGAGACCGTTCATCCAGAGCTTACCCCTTTTTGTTTCTTTATCTTCGTACCTTTTGGCTTCTGCTGCTGTTTCTGCCTCATGTAAAGCAGTGTGGTTCCCAGAAGTAGGAGAATGACCACAGCAGCAACAGCAATGCCAATGATGGCTCCCATTGACAGCCCACCTACAACCCCAGATGCTGCTGGTGAAGTAGACTCGCTGCCATTGCTGCTGCTGCTGTTGCTACTGCTGCTGCTGCTGCTGCTGCTGCTGCTGCTGCTGCTGCTGCTGCTGCTGCTGCTGCTGCTGCTGCTGCTGCTGCTGTTGCTGCTGCTGCTGCTGCTGCTGCCATTGGTGCTTGTGCTACTACTGTTCGTTGTGATTGGGCCTGAAAAAGCAAACAACTATGTGGAGATTACAGCAAGCTTCTTACCACGAAAAAACTTGAAGACAGTAATATGGGGCATTGTTCAAACCGAGAGCAAAAATCATCAGTGCATAACCAGAGCCCCTACCATGGTTCCACGCAACCTTTTGGTTCTCCAGGAAGACAGCTTTGCCTTGTGTATTGCCTGACATACTTTTTGAAACCTTACCATCATTAATATCACACTACTCTGGGAGGACTTTGCTTTAACCACTTGCCTGCAGATTTGAGGCAGGTCGTGCAAAAGGATCTACACGTCTGGCAAAAGGCTGTTCTCGGATTTTGTGTTGTGCCACAGTCGGTGTTGTCAGGTGGGCACGTGAGGTTTGTGCCAGTGACGTTGCTGCAATAGGAAAAAGGGGGAGATCAAAATGCAGAAACTTGACCTAACGAACTCAGCATAAAAATGGTAACAGTGGTGGGGTTAAGTGGGACACGAGGGAGAAAAGCAACAAATAGGTGATTGCCAATCATAAGCAATCACTGATTGGCAGTATTCAGGAGTGGAGGAAGGAAAAGGAGAGGAGCTAGGGATGAGCCAAAAAACGAACACACTTTCAAGGCGAACCGAACAGGTTTGTTTTTTTTGCTTAAAGTGTTCGCGAAAATGTGTTCAAGGTTCGCCCGAACACGTTCGTGTTCGGGCCGCTACTGCAATTCGCCCTGCGACGAACACGAACGTGTTCGAGGTTCGCCCGAACACGCGTGTTGGTGTTAGGCCCCAATCTCACATTCTGTACTTGTACTTTTATATCCTAGTTTAGTGTAGTTTGCACTTTGTGTTTGGTTGGGTGTACACCCACATCCCAACCAAACCCAAATGTAATCTCCAAGCAATCTCCAACCCACCAATTGGAGATTGGCTTGGGATTACCCTTGATTCCCTAGGATTGCCTCCTGATTCCCTCCTCATCCCTACCTTGCTCATCCCGGATGTACTTAAAGAGCTTTGAGCTCACTACTATAGTATCGATTCTAAGCTCAAGTTCTGACATGGTAATCAGAGCAGCTCAACCGCATACGCGGATCGTGATCCTCTCATCTCTGCGGATACTTGTCCCGCAAACCTCGGGGAAGCCATCGCCAATTTCGTCGCCGTTGATTCGCGACATTCATCGGCGGAATTTCTCCCGCCAAACCTTCCCGTCACCATCGACGGAAACTTCTCTGGTAAGCGCATCGTCGGCGCTCTAACCTAACACTCGTTTTCATCAATTCGTCACTTCTTCTCCTCGACGGGCTGCCGCCCGTCGCCCTGCAGCTTCTCGTCGGGCCGCCGCCCGTCGCCCCGCAGCGTCATCTTCGGGCTGCCGCCCGTCGCCCCGCATCTGCACTCCTACCCCCATCCCCCCTCTTTCCCGCAGCTGAACAGGTGCAGCAACGCAGCCGAGCAGCAGTGTAGCCGCGAAGCCGAGCAGCCGTGTAGCCGCGAAGCCGAGCAGCAGCGTAGCCGCGAAGCTGAGGGTGGTGTGTGGGGGGGTGTGTGGGAATAGGACTAGTAGGTAGTTGACACTAAATTGGCGTCTCAGTCAAATTCTCCTTCGTAAACCCTAAACCTCCGGTTCTTCAAAATCTCCTTTGGAAACCCCAAACCTCAAGTTCCTATTGGTGACTTAAGAGCGGCGCTCCGCGCGAGAAGTTAAGGGGTCTCCACCATGGCTTTCTCGTCTTCCACCATGGCGAACCCCATCACCCCGCTCCGCCTTGAAGCCGATGGCTCTAGCTCCAACTTCAAGGCGTGGAGCTACGGAGTTGACAAGCACCTCCTGAGCCGTGACGTGCAGGGCCTTGACCTCAAGGACGTCCTCCTCAACCGTGGCAAGGGGAAACAGCCCACTCTTCCCCGTGAACCGACCGAATCTTCAAGTGATGCTGACGTGATGACGTACGAAGAAGTTGTTGAGAAGTACCGGAAGTGGGAGAAGG